TTACGTTTAAAGTTTTAACTTAAGTAAAGTTTACGTTTAGTACATGAATTATGCAAAAGCACGAACACAGATATGTGTATATATATATATATATATATATATATATATATCTGGACTTATGTATGCATTGATGGATGGACAGATGAATAGACAAAAAGATAAGATAGAGGGGGATACAGATGTACCTATATAACACCTGAAACTAAGATTCATATTAAAAGCGGTCAATTTATCCACAGAATTATGAATATTAAACAGCTCCTATGTTTTAATAAATAATCAGAAATTCTGGTTTTAATGCTAGAATTCTCCAGATATGCCTAAGATGAAAACAATGTTTTCCAAAGGTTGCACTCTGATATAAAACTATTTTATACATCAAGATTGTTAAGAATTTTTTTCTGACTCCTTAATTCTGTATTTAGCTTACTGAGCCTGCTCCTGCTAATACCACAATTTTTGCTCCTCTGAAATTAAAATTCTAAGCCATATTAATTAGAATCCTTACTGGATTCTAATAGGAATCCAATTGGAAAGGAGGAGAGGAAGAGGGGGAAGAGAGAGAGAGCGAGCTCTAATATTCTTCTTACATTCCTGAACAGAATTGGTGTCAATCTCCAGATAATACTATGACTTATTTCATAGCAAGTTGAAATGCTATCCAACCCAAAATGTATCTTGTCACTGTGAATTTTATCTATCTGCTACCTCTCATATCATCACTAGAAGAACACTATTAACTGCCAAAACAGTAACTGATAAGAAGTCAACAAAGGTTAATCTTTCCATTTCTCAATTCGGTGTCATAGATCAGCCAACCAATATTCATCAGATTGCTATGTTCAACAATGTTAATACAAATCAGAACAGTTTAATTCTGAAGAAAAAGCTCTGGAATACTATCTATAAGCACCTTCTTTTCTATATGTTCTCTATGGGAAGGGAAATCATAGATAAATCTCACGTATAACTTGATCTATATCCAACCTATAGGTGGCAGATAGCAGTTTCTTGGTGTTAGTTACCAAGCGGGGTTAAAATAATACAATGAATACTCTTGGTTTAGTTATCTAAAAAGCAAAAAAGTGTGCCTCTCCCTAATCTACACCAAAATTTTGGTTAAATCCTTCCCCCGCATGCAAGAAAATGACCCTTAGAGGGACATGGTACATACCTTGAGGGTGAGGTCGACGGTAGCGGGAGAAACTGGAGTTAGGCTGGAGCTCTGTTGTAGAGTCTCCCTCCTAGGGAGGGGAAGGGTGTGGGGCAGGGGCACCTGAAAGGTAGGTAACAGAGATCACATTCTAGCTAGGTCTATGACAAAAGCCCCATCAAAAGCAAGAGCTCAAGCAATGCAGCTGAACTAGGTAGTCTTCCAGACTTAAGCACTTGACAAGGAAGCATTCAGAAAAGGGGAGAAATCTGATAGATGGGAAAAAAATTATCTGATCATTTATGATCATGGAATATTATCCATTTCCTTTTGGAATTAAATAATAATTTCAGGAAAATAAATTTCCTTTAGACTGATCCTCAAAAGATTTACATGGAAGTGATATAAATGTATCTTTGAGATACATTTCCTTCCATAATGCCACAAGAGCATAGAACTAAAATCTTGCAAATATAGCATGATTTCACTTGATACCTCTTCAGTTGAATTCAAAATTTCAGAGGCAGTATTTGAACTTGACTAGACACCTTAAAAAGATTTCCCAAACCAGTAGGGACAAACAGAACATCAATGCTCTTATTCCTCTCATCATTACCAGTGCTCTAAGATCATCACCCTTACGTGATGCTGCCAAAGAATGGAATGAAGCTAGTTTAACCAACAGAAGTATATGAATTTTTTAAGCCACACAACTATCAGGAAACCCAAGGCCAAAATTCAATACACCAAATTCACCAGCCCCTAAAAATTACAAGGTGTTCTGACTGGATATAATCCAACTCAAATCTTTAAACTCTTATGAAGAGAAGGAAAGCAACAAACACTATCACAAACCAGAACACAATATACTGAGTATCATGAGATCCATTTAATAAGAAACAATTTATCCACAAGAAACTCTTGGAGAGATTCTGTAATTCTGTTCCCCCCCACACACACATACACACACACACAAACACAATGATTAAGCCAGAGATGGAATTGCAAAACAAAAGAATAATTTACCATAAGGCTTCCATGTTAAAGGAATACTTTCAATTGCCAGATAACCTTTGATACTTTGTAACGTCAATTACAGCAGGCAAAATCAAAATCTGTGCAGACTTTGAAAAAAGGGGACATACGCTGAAGTATTTTTAATTTAGTCACCCTTCTAATTAGCACTATTCCTCTCCAAGTTTAAAATTATTTTGCATTCACAATTATTTCCCAGATATTCACAGAGTATTTACTTGTTTACATATTAGAGTAAAAAATTAGATACCAGATGGCAAGGAAACATTAATAGAAGATTGATATGGAACTTAAACAATAGACATGTATGCTTTCAGAATGGTTTTAATTCACACTCCTTACAGTCTTAAAACTTGATCATTTAGAGCCCATTGCACCCATTTCCCCAAATTATTCAATTTTTTGTGGTATTCCTCCTATTTTTAAAGCCCCCCCCCAAAAGAATATGCATGTATTAAAACCTTTTTCCTTACAGCAATAAAGGTTGAAGAATCAGAGTAGGAAGGAGTAATTTAGACAATTAAAATCCCTGCTTTATCTGCTGATACAATGGTAATAACAGATATTGTGGAACCATGGTTTTATTAGAAGCATTTTCAGTTTCATGTATCTCTCTTCAAAGGATTATTCCTTCCTTTTTCCCAGAGTTTTAGAAAATTAATTTCATAATGAAGTTCTGAGTAAACAATTCATCCAAATCAGAACTTTAAAGTTTAAACCTATTAAAAAATATACAATCCTAGACCAAAAAAAAAAAAAGGACAAACAACTGAGAAAAGAATACAAATACCCAGCAAAAACTTACTCTACCTGAGAGTAAGGATACTTCATCAGGTCCAGTAATCTCTACCTGTTACTGCAGTATGATAAAATTAGGCAGCCATTCTGGAAACTTCCCAATCCTGATCATTTAAAAGGTAGCATGCTATTGCCACATGAAATTGATCTGGTCATTTATGATGAGAGATAATACCATCCTCTACCCTTCAAGGATGGTAAATAGGGCATTTCATAAATATGTGCACTACTATCTCAACTTCAGAATTTGAACAGATATATACCGTATTTTTCTGACTATAAGACGATACTTTTTTCTAAAATCCTTACCCTAAAAACTGAAGGGCATCTT